GCAAACACCAATCTTTACCGGATGACATTAACGTCTTTTTCAAGATCTTAAGGAAATGCCAAACGAAGTTTGATTGCCTTGTTTTTGAAATGCTCTATATTAAAGAGAAAAGACCTTCAATTAATGTTCAGAGCGACTCTATAAAAGCTAAAGTATTTACCTAGCTAGTTATTGTTGTTAATATCTCACTTTATTCCCAATAGCACTTGGCATGTAAATTTATTCTGTTAGCACTTATTCTGTTTGTAATATCTATTTATCTTCACTTGCTTGATAATGGCATCATGACGACACCGAAACGTCGCAATTACAAAAACCAAAACACCGTGTGTTTTCTCTCTTTATCGTTTCTTATATTATGTTTCTCTAAACATATTCTAATTAAAATGTTAAAAGTTTAAAATTAAAATGTTTGAAGTTTATATAAATTTATCATACAAAATATGACAACTGTGTTCTCAGGTGTTTATTTGTTTTTTGGTATCCAGTTTCCATGGGCAACTATCACAGCATAATGTGCTCAACAACTCTACATAGTAGATCTGTTCACAGAGTAGTCAAAATCAGGCAACATGTATGTTGCACTGCCCTCAAATGAACAAGAGTACCATGTCAATGTCAAAATGGTTTCTTTTTTGCAGACAAAAAATATTATTTTATTTATTTTTATTAATAACTGCAAAAAAATAAGCAAGCTTGTTGCTGCCCAATCCTTCCTCCCTCTGAATACAAAACCACAAGTCCATCTCAAAACTTGTTTTAACTGCAAAAAAAGGCTATTGCTGAAGCCACATAAAACAACATCCCAATTTGTAGAGTAGAGTTGAGGTAGTTTCATTTAAATAACTTTTAAGTTAAGTTAAAATTATTTACATCATGATAATTAACTTACCATTGACAAGGTGATTTGGAAGATTGACAAAACATACTCTTTGATCCTCACCATCACGTTTGAATCTACAATTGTACCAGCGCATGCATGGGTTTCTCATAAAGCAAATTACCACCATTATCAGAACACTGACAACAACAAGAAGACCAATTCCCACATACAAGATAGTATTTCCTTCACTATCTTCCTTTTTATTCTTTGAATCAGTCGGTCCAATGGGCTTCTGAGTTGTACTACTATATACAATGGTACTTGTGGTAGAAACAGAGGAGTTTGTTTGTGTCACATTTGGAGTTCCAGTACCCAGAGTTGGAGTACACTTCTTCTTTCTGTGAATGCTGCATCTTTGCTCAAGTGGCATGCCTTTCTTTATACATTCATTTTCTACAACATCATTTCTATCACCACAACACCGTGAGCATTTCTGGCAGTCATTAGAACTGTTTTGATAGTAGTTTTCTTTACTTTTACACTGGGGTTGGCATATAGGTTTGCTATCTGTTGTACATGTTGTAACTTGATCATCAGAGCAATATGCAGAGCATGGTTTGCATTGTTCATGGTTATATTCTATCGAGTAATTCACTCCTTTAATGCATGGATCACACTTTATTTTACCATGGTCTGGTAAGGTTGTACCACATTGATATCTTAGGCCATAACCAGCTGGGCATAGAGGACAATCAATACATGTAACCTTTCCACCAGAGACTCTCTTGTACTGATTCACTGTGCAGCCCCGTGCAGTTGACTATAAAGAAGAAACTGCATGAGAAAATTATTTTGAGTTGTCTAAAATAAACAGCTATACAAGTTTGAATTCATGCAGTCAAAGTGGTTTGCTGTTCAAAAAAGCAGATTTCTACTGTTATATATGTGACTTATATAATCTTGGCATCTTATAAAGCTTTAATTTTTTTTCTGACCAGTAAAAGGTTCTTTTTTTAGTTGGCTTTTTAGGGAGGTTGGATGCATATGATCAGGATTTTTGTGCAGGATTTTTTGTCGCGAATTGGTTTATTTTTTCCCTAATTTTTGAAGCCCTGCAGGTTTTTTTACCTCTTTTTACAATTGTGCAGGATTTTAAAGTTTTTCTTGACGAAATTTGTTTTGGTATTTGTATGAAATTCGGTGAAATTTATTTTCAAATTATCATCTTACACCGCCTTCCCTACCCTCAGATAAAATCTGCAAGTCATCAAAAAATATTTGACTAACTTTTATCGTGTATTGATACAAACAGTTAGATTTTAAACAAATTTGCTAGCTACAAAATATCGATTAGATTCTTGTAAATTACGATCATTTTACATTTGTATCTAACTTAGTTCAAGCTTAAAATAGCTTAATTTTGAGTGAGCTTCGCTGAATGGGCTTCGGCCGATGAGCTCATTAAGTTAAGCTTTTTATGCTAATTGTAAACTGATTTGATGACCTTTTTACGTTAAAAAGGAAACAAATAAACTCTGCAAGTGTTAAAAGCTTATATAATCGTCATACCTCCAGAACAGTAAATATCACAGTCAAACCCAAAAGCCACAAGCTCCGCGATAAGTTGTTGACATGCAGCATGTCGCTAAGAACGATGTGTACGATGCTCAGTTTACTAGAACGATGATGAACTTCCAAGAAATAGAGAAAAACTAGTTTAGTTACTAAGTAAGTATAACTTTGAATCAAGCCTCGAGAAAATCACTGAAAAATCAACACAAAAAACCTTCGGTCAGCTTCGTTACTTCGTTCGGCTCCTGTGCAGTGACAGGTAAAGATCATGAACCTTTTGACGGGAGGGGAGAGGGGTGGATGATTTGTTTATTGTGACTTGGTGGACAGGTTACATTTTCCCCATTTCGATACTCTGTATGATATTTTTTTACAGTACAATAGTGCAGGAAAATCTGTACTCCATTTGTGCTGCAGGATTTTTTTTCGGCACTGACAGTACAGAATTTTTTTTTTCCTAGATCACCCCTCCCTCAAAAGTCAAATTGTCAGCCCTCCGTGATTGGTTGACTCTGACGTAATGATAGACATATTATTAGAGCGGTTTTTTAAAAAATGCGCTCTCACATTTCGCATGCACGTTTCTCACTGGCCGTCACTGCCGTTGATATTCGGAAGACGTATACTGTAATATTCAATCGGTAATGAGAAAAAATTGCTTTGGCACTGCCGAGAATAACAAATTTATTGATAGTTCAACCTCAATTTAAATTTATTTCCATTATATATTTCAAGTTACAAGTTGATAGAATTCAGGAACTCTCTTTTTTTGGCTATTCCATTTTATATTAACCACACCCCCTCGTAGAAGATGTTTGTCAGGAGGTTCTTAAAATCAAATTTCTGGGGATATAAATGTGTCAGCACCTTTGACCTTTTGATATTTTATCTAATTTCTGATGGGGCAGAGTTCTCTTTGTCAATTTGTCACCACTGGTGATTTAAATATTTCTGAGGAGGTGTTATCAGATGACATCTTCTATAGAGGGAGTTGGAAGTGGATATAAAATAGAATGGCTAGACTAAGAGCTTTTACTTGTGCTTCATTAAATCAGTACTAATGCATTTGCATGTTTCCAAATTGATATCGTCATCATACCATGTCATACGCTTCATATAGTAAAGCTCTGGTCGTTAATTTTTTTATACTTCTTATTTATAAAAAAATGAGGGGAGGAGGGGGGGGGGTCACTGTGGTTCCTGTCTATTACCAGTAATTGATGGTAATGGAGAACATCTCGAAGGAAGGATGAAACTTTATTTCATGAGCAATGCAATGAAAAGAACCAGCTTAGCTAAAACAACATTGCTGCAAGTTGGGAGCTGGTGAAGGACCACAGCAGTAATAATAGACCAGCATTTTTCCAACCAATGATCCTTGCTATAGCAAATTGAGACTTCAATAATGAAGTATTAATAATGATTACATGTGGTGGAATGGAAGGAAAATAAATTGTGACAAATTGTGTATTATTTATTGCATAAAGTTTTAAAACAAAATACAAAATAAATGAAAATCATCCCAGTCTCCTTCCATTCTTGTACCCAGACCCTACTCTTGTGGCTTCTAGCGACCTGTCATAGGCTCTGGGACACCCTATAAACCGGAAGTAAGAAATCTTGCTTTCGGTTTATGCTCTAATCTCTTTCTCCAGACTCTCTTAGAATAGTTTTTCCGGGTAATCGCTGGTAAAGACAGGATATAGGCTGCGAGAGATACCGATACATCAAATTACAAATATTTGAATTTTTGATTGTGATTACAATCTATTCTGTTATTTGAATTAGCCAATCATGTGGCTTGAAATAACAGGGTGTCCCAGAGGCTTCGAATTTCGGTTGGAAGATGAAAAAGGGTCTGGGTATGAGAATGAGTCTCCTCCAAAATCACGATGCGCCATCTTCAGCGTGGTGGCATTTTGCATCAAAACGAGATGACCATTGACCAATGATAAAAACCTGTGAATAATTARTTGTCTGTAGGTGTCTGATAGAAGGTATTGATCATTGAACGCCATATGGTTGTCTCACTTTGTTCAAAGACATGGTCATACACCTTTCAGAGGTGGTGCAAGGAAACCTGAAGCAGACTATTCATGTMATTCCTCCATATTTAGCTTCAGAGTGACAATGCACAAACCAAGGTGTACTGGTGAGCATCATTGTTAATTGACATCTAAAGTATTGAAAGTCACGAATACAGAAACCAACTGGAACTGTATGCGTTATATACAAGTGAARCACACTGCAGTTACAAATTACCAATTCACAAATGTTAAAACACTACTTGATTATGCTTTAAAAAACTTCAACTTTGTATCATTCTAATATCTCTTTTCATGGATGAAGTTTTAAGTAATAAAGAAATCACTCAAGAAGCAAGGAGCTCAAGCACTTACCATAAAAAAATTACATTTTTTTGTGTCACCCATGATGCTATCTGTGAACCTAAAGTCTCCTCTACATGCAGATTTAAAAAACAACAAAAACAAAAAATAAAAAAAAAAATAAAAAAAAACTAACAAGCACAAACAACAACACATGGCCTTCTGACTTAATTACTGCAGTGTGAATTTGCTCCTGAATGAAATGTGCCTGATCTTTTTAAGCTATACAAATTGCATTTTACAAGACATTATATGTAATGATATCATTAATTTATAGCAAAACTAATGCAAATATGCCTGATTATTTTACACAACAGAGTTGGTTCCATCCTTATAAGGAAATGCTCCTAGTATATAACTGACATGGCAACCATCTTGATCTGTGGGTGTGAGTTTTAGTTTTCTTTCTTTCACCATATCAGACAAAGTTGCTTTTGGATCAGCACTTGCTTGGATCAAATCAATGTCAGCATCTCCTAAATTAGGAAAAAGTTTCCTTACAAGGGCTGCCCATTCTACTTTGTCTGGGGAATAGGTTTTGAAGAGTTCTTCAAAATTCACTGTTGGTTGCTCTACAGTGGTAGTGGATGTGGTTTCTGTGTATCAAAATAAAATGGCATTTGCTTGCAACTGATAAAATATTGAAATAACTGAGTTTCATTGTAATAGCACTGTGTCAATTCAGGGGATGGATCCAGGAATTTGACAGGGGGTGTCTCTCTAGGACTGGATATCAATTGTTAGACATTTAGACAAAAGATATGCCACCTTTTTGGTTTATATACTGGCACATTCTTTAAAGTGAGGACATCCAAACTAATGTGAAAATTCAGCAATACTGAGGTGTCTAGCAGCTGCCGTTATAWTGGTTCACTCCACCTGAATCCACCCCTGCAATTATCATCATTTTAATTACCAAATCCTTGGTTGTCATAAGAGGACAAGTCTTCTACTTGCACCCCACTTGAGCAGGTCTATTTTAACAGACAATATACTTTTAGCATGTTGAATTGTATACTGTATACACCATGTACTGATGATTTTTTTGAACATCAACAGTTTCAGCACCCAACTTATCAAACAGTTAAATAAAATTTCTATATTCAAGAAAAATCAATTAGTTTATATTGTACTCAGAATAAAGAATAACACATTATTTTATGTTACAAYGTTTCAAAGTCATCTTGACTTCATTTTCAAGATGACTTCGAAACATTGTAACATTTAATGWGTTWTTCTWTATTYTGAGTACTATCACAAAATCTTTACTAATAGGTTTATATAGTGCAAAACAAAACATTTTTAGATTGACAGAAACACTTATGCTCATCATGACATATTCACCATATTCATCTAACTGCATTTGGAAAACAGATGGAAATGACTTACTTGTGAGCCATAGTGCACAAAGAAACTCATCACTGGAATCTCCATAACAGGTGCATCATTTAGTTTCACTATAAAAGTACAGTTGAAATCTCTTCTGCATGGTTCTTGATGCACRAATGTAGCCTCAAATTGAGGCACTTTCTTATAGGAATGCAGCCAGTCCTGACTGTAGATCATCTGAAAYCATCAGAATAATTTTTCAGATAGTTATTTATGTTGATATGATATTAATGTCAGGTGCAAGAGATAAATAAATGGCCATGGTTGTGATCAATTAAAAAAAAACACAATAAATGGGGGCCAGCATTTTACTGAGGGAAAGGTTTCCATCCCACTTAAATCATGTCAAATATATTAGTGACATTAAATGAAATTTCTGCACTTTTTGCTTTAAAAGTTCCATTACCAAAGGATGATGACTCATTGTGAATCCTTCACTCAAGCTTTCAATGCTGAGACTGATGTTACTTTTTGGATGAATATCGGGATGGAAAACATTGAGACTTGCTAACAGTCGACGATCTTCTTTGGCTTCCTCATATTCTAATTTCTGAATAATATAAATAAAATATACAAATTTCAACTCTCTTAGTTGAGACAGCTTTAAAATTAGCTGATTTCCCAGTAATTAATCCTTAATAAATAATGATTATTAACTTATTATTGGATTATTTGTCAATAGTTTCCCACAAAAGGTGATACAATCTTACTTGATTATAATGCCTTCCTATATGGTAGCATATATGGAGTATTTTTCATCTATATTTAATGTACGATTTGTAATATTGTATTGCAAGAATAACAATTAATCATCCAGTTTACTAGAATAACTACAAATGACTATAATTCACCTTAAATGATGGCTCACAATCATCAATGAAATACAGTTTTATGGAATAAGGTGCATTAACCCTTGGTTCTGCTTCTCCAAACACAGCACAACACATTCTCTTCTTTGAGAGTTTACCATCTCTTCCAGGGGYACCCACAACAATATAACTCCCAAGTTCATTCTCACTGAGCTCAACCCARCCATTCTCAACATCAATGTTTTTAAGGTCACTCAGGTTTGTCCACTCAGAYGGGCTGTCATCAAGGGAGTTAGACTTATGGACTGTCATTGACCAGTTCTCAATTTCTTCTCCCACGACATGAGCACTGTGGAAAAGATGCAATTTTACAGGATTCTGCAGACACAATTCTTGAGGGTGAAGCTTAATGACAGGGCTAAGGAATACTTCTTGTTCTCTTAGTTCTGGGAAGCATTGATTGGAGAAATGGCAAACTTCTACAGAAACCTTGTCAAGAATTTCTTGTCCAGCATCTTCAGTGTCACACTCAATTTTGACTCCTGATTTTGGGAAAYAAATACATCTTGTTGTGCTTTTTGAACTTGGTTTTTCTTTTCCTAATATGGATTCTATGAAATATATAAAGGTAATCAGCTATATATTATGCAATTATTTTGACCAGGTCTAACAGGTATAATATTTATCACATAGGTACATATATTTATAGATGGGGTGATGTAAGACTCACCTGAAACATCTTCCAACATGGTCTCAGAGCCAGCTTCCATGATGGGTTTATATTTANTTAT